TCCCGGCCTCGGGAAGCCCCGCAGGGGAGCGGGATGGTTTTGAGGTAGGGGTTTAGGGAGAGGAAGCTGCAGTCATTTCCTACCTTTAAGGAGGACCCTTTTTTGAGAGCGTCCCCCACCAGTAGCCCTAAAGTGACTCACCTCCGCACCTGGGCTAGCTCCTATTTCACCAGCTCCTGCAGTGACAGCTGGAGGGCCTGGGAGATGAAGTTTCTCACTCCCCATTCAGGTCTCCCACCCTCCACTCTCTCCCCAGAGAATGGAATAGTTCCTGCGCTTCCCCAGGCAAGGACACTGGGGAGGAGGTATGTACTTATGGGCTGGGCCTGGCTCTGAGAGACCTGCCAGGTAAGGCCATGGGTGTGGCCGATTTCCAGAGCTGACCAGAGCTTGCAGAAGTGGCTTCCAGGCCTTCCTCTAGGGCCACTGCAACGATGTCTTTGCTTTCTAAAATCCAGTTCCCCTCATTTGCCTCACCTGTACCTGGGGACATCACCTTTGGAGCTTAGGGGAGAGATTGGGCAGAACCAGGGCCTAGGTGGAAGCTGCCGTGGGAAGAAACTGAATGGAACTGTCTTTTCTCCTTAGGGTCCGTGGCCCGGTCGCCAGGAGGAGCTACTCCAGGTTGCCATGAGAGAGACCTTGGAGGCCCTCGGCTCCCTGGGTGAGCTGGCAGAACTGAAGGGTGGGGGAGGGAGTGGGGGAGTCCGTGGCATCTACAATGCAGACAGCAGAGCAACCCCTGGGCCTGTAGGGCAGCATCCTTTCTGGTTTCATCAGGGTGCATTTGAATGCCTGGTTCCCAGAGGAGGTCATGCTGGACTGCATGTGCGCGTGGTACTTGGAGCACGGGGATATTTAAACCTATTATATTTCTTCTTTTGTCCTTCTTGACTCAACTCAAAGAGGCTGAGCTTGATACTGGCCAGGCTGCTAGAGGGCCTGGGCTATCCCTTATCCACGCTGGTGAGAGACCCTATCCTTCCTGAGCAGGTTGGGAAAAACCCCTTTGGTGGGCTGGGAAGGGGACGAGCCCCCACCTCTGATCACCTCTTCTGTACTGGATGCTTCACTCGGACCTATCCTTCTGCTGGTAACAGGATTCTCTGTGGGACAGCCAGAGATGGCCCCCCAAAGTGAGCCCAGGGAAGGGTCCCATAATTCCCAGGAGCAGACGTCCTCTTCCAGGGAAGAGAGAGCGCTGGGCATGTGCTCAGGTAAGTATGTGGGAACCATGCAGGGTGGCTCCGGGAGGACTCTTCCTCCCTCCCTTCCTTTTCCTTCTTTCCATCAAATATTTATGGAGCACCTAGGATGTGTTAGGTGCCATTCTGGATCTTTGGAATACCTCAGTGACCAAATAGACAAGGAGCTTAATTCTAGTGAATGCAGAGTCAACAAACAATAAATGTAAAAATCGGCCCATTAATAACCCGTGTTAGAAGATGGCAAGTGCTATGCAGGGAGAGGGTAAACATGCTGAGAGGGCCTGAGGCTGCTGCTGGCGGGGGTGAGGCATGTTGTAGGAGTAAGTAGCGGGTGAGAACAGGCCTCAATAGGAAGGTAAGAGCTTTGGGCAAGATTCGAAAGTGGGGAGGGAGGTAGCTAAGGGATATTCCAGAGAAGAGCTTTCAGGCAGGCAACAGCCAGAACAGAGCACCCAAGGCAGGAGTATACCTGGCTTTTTGACATCTTGATCCTCATCAATGATTTGCCTTGCAACTGGGGTCCATCTGGGGGGCTGAAAGACCCCCAGCCCTCCTCCTAGGAGTCTCAGGTAAGCCTCAGGTCAGGGGCCCTTCCTCGCTTCCACTAACTTCCATGCACATATTCCAGAAACTCCTCACAACTGGCTGTCACTCTGGCAACCTGCACACCCTCAGCAGCTGCCCTGCTTGAAGGAGGCTGAGGCTACCCTGGGGCAGCTGGGAATTCAGCCCTGCAGTTATGATGTGGGATGGAATCCTGGAGCTGGGCTTCAAATGTCCCTGCTTCCTAGCACTAGTGGGGACTTTGTCCATCTGTGATGTCTCTGGAGTCCTTGAGGTACCCTGTTCTCTGCCAGGGCACGAGGCCCCCAGGCCAGAGGAAGTTACCCACACTGAACAAGCTGAGGCTCCCTGCAGAGGAGGCCAGGCGTGCACACCACAGAAGGCTGAGCCTGAGGGCTCCTGCCCAGGTGAGTCTTCCCTTTGCTCCATCCCACCAAGGGTCCAGGCAAAGGGAACAGGGGTCCAGTAAGCTCCAGAGCTTCTCTCTGATGAGGCAGGTCATTCTCCAAGACTGCCACTACAGGCCTTTTCGATCCAAGATGAGTTCAGTCTTTGCCATCTTTCTGCTGGAGAGCTTCAGCACCCAAAGGGCATCTTACATCTGTAGACAGCGGGAATCAGAGAGGCTGGTTACCAAAGAGAATCACACCCTCACCTCAGAACCCTCTACAAGTCCCAGCTTCCCCTCATTCTCTCTCCTTGGCAAATACATGCTTGTTGATCACCTAAATTACAACTGCCATGAAAATATATGGCATTGTTCAACCTTTCCACTGTCTCTCCCCCAACATGCTCCCTCCCCGAAACCTCCATGGATCTTGGTGGTACCCAGATGCTCCAGATCTGTTGTACGGAACTCATCTCCCTGACACCAGGATGGTCAAACAGTTGGTTCTCTGTCCACAATCTCACCCATTAATTTCCTTCCACTACCACTAACCTTATCACCTTCCACCTGAGTGATACCCTTTATTCAACAAGGATTTATTTAGTGCCTCCTATGTACAGGCTGTGTTTGGTAAAGTGGAAAGAGATGGGTTCTTGGGTTGTGCAGACCTGGTTTGAGTCCTTGCTCCACATTTACTAGCTGAGTGCTCGTAGACAGCTACCTCCCCTCCAGGAGCTTCAGCGTGTTCACCTGTAAACAAAGTGTAACGTTATGGTTTGTTGTGAAGGTTTGTGACGTGAATGTATAGTGCTTCATCTATAGTTGGCCCTCAATAAATGGTGGCACTCCTCATTTTTATTAGACACATAAAAACACAAAAGAAATAGAACACAAGAGTTCTGCCCTCCAGAAGCTAAAATGTAGTTCAGATGACATTAATATGAACCAGGACAAAGAATTAAAAGAACAATGCAAAGGCATGTCACAAGTAAGTGTAAAAGTGTTAACAGTAAGTGCTATAGGAGTTTATAGTAAGAGGTCCTTATGCATTAGATTTTACAGAAATGTTGATTCATGCTGCATTTTGAGAGAGGTATACACTTTGGCTCTGAAGAGGGGTGGGGTGGAGGATGGAAAGACATTTCGGGCTAAGAACATACTCTGAGGCAGGAAAGGTGACATGTGATTGGAGGAGAGCAGGTTGGCTGTAGCGAAGGGTTCACGACTGGGAGATGTAAGAAAGTTGGACTATGTTGAGATGAGCCTCAGATGCAGCAAGAACCTACTTTATTCTGTAAATAATAGGGAACTATTGATGGTTCTTGAGTAGAGGAGTGGCACAGTGAAAACAAAAGTGATATCACGGCATGGTAAATAGACAGTTTGGAACGGATGGACTGACAGAAGAAACTGGGAGTAGATCTAATTGTGGCAGTCCATGTGTAATATAATCAAAGCTCAGGCTATTATAGACTTTTAGGGCCAGAGAGGAACTTAGAACATCTGGTTCAATGGTTCTCCAACAAAAATCACTTTGGGAGCTTTAAAAAAAGAAAACAGATTCATGGGCCCTGCCCCACGGATGCATTTTGTAAAAGTTCCCCAGGAGATGATGATGTGGCACCAGGTTTAGGAGCTATGAACTAGCCCAACCCTTACACCTAAGCAAACTAAGAAACTTAGCTCAAAAAAGTTAAGTGACTTAACCAAGGTTATGCTGCTGGTTAGTGGCAGTGGCGAACTCAAGGTGGACACTCCCTGTCTGTACTCTGGGCTCCGTCCTCTTCCCTGGGGATTGTAGCACCCAACCCAGAGGGGCAGAGCTCCAGCGCAGAACCCACCCCAAATCTGCCCTTGGGCCAAGGCTCCCGCAGAGGGCCCTCCCTGCTTCCTCCAGAGGCTCACAACCAAGTCCTGTAAACTCCATCCTCCTCTTCCTAAACTGGGATTTCCCACCAGGACTTAGCAGCAGGAATTAAGAGGTGGGGGTGTGTGGGAACTTGAGGAATACAATGGTACCCTGGTACTGTGTGGCCTCTGGAGGGTGGACAGAGCAAGAGAAGCGCAGAGGTGAGATATCAGGGTTCCAAGTCTGTTCTAGCACGAGGAGGCTGGAGTCCTCATGTAAAAGTCAGCCAGGAGTAGGTTTGGGAAGGTTGGTGTTTGGTGATAAACCTTCTGAACCGCAGCCAGCTTTCAGGACACCCAAAGGGTAGCTGCTCAACAGGAGATGAGAGTCTGTGGTTCCTGCTGGGACAGGAAGATGTGGGGCAGCCACTATAGGGATATGAACCCAGAGAGAAACATGAGGACTGAAGCTTAGGGGACATTCCTGAGCTGCTCAACAGGAGATGAGAGTCTGTGGTTCCTGCTGGGACAGGAAGATGTGGGGTAGCCACTATAGGGATATGAACCCAGAGAGAAACATGAGGACTGAAGCTTAGGGGACATTCCTATCCAGGGGGTGCAAGAGGAAGCAGTGCCTACTGAGGAGGCAGGACAGGGCTCCTTGGCGACATGCAAACCTGGGAAGAAGGAGGGTGGCGTTCACCAGAGGCTGCAGAGAGCTTAGAGAAGAGCTCAGGATTTGGTCATTCCCAGGAACTTTTGCACAGAGTGGAGAGAGCAGAAGTCAGGCTGCAGGGGTCCGGGAAGTAGTGGTCCTGTTGGCAAATAAACTTTGCAGCACGTGGGACCTAATGGGCAATTCTTGTTTTTACCATTCAGGGGAGGAGTGGATGATTCGGAAGGTGAAAGTGGAGGATGAGGATCAGGAGGCAGAAGAAGAGGTCGAATGGCCCCAACATTTATCCTTACTTCCCAGCCCTTTCCCCGCACCTGACCTGGGGCATCTGGCCGCCGCATACAAGCTGGAGCCGGGGGTCCCAGGAGCACTGGGTGGGCTCGCTCTGTCTGGGTGGGCCCCGATCCCCGAGAAGCCCTACGGCTGCGGGGAGTGCGAGCGGCGCTTCCGGGACCAGCTGACGTTGCGGCTGCACCAGAGGCTGCACCGGGGCGAGGGCCCCTGCGCCTGCCCGGACTGCGGCCGCAGCTTCACGCAGCGCGCCCACATGCTGCTGCACCAGCGCAGCCACAGCGGCGAGCGGCCCTTCCCGTGCTCCGAGTGCGACAAGCGCTTCAGCAAAAAGGCCCACCTGACCCGCCACCTGCGCACGCACACGGGCGAGCGGCCCTACCCGTGCGCAGAGTGTGGCAAGCGCTTCAGCCAGAAGATACACCTGGGCTCGCACCAGAAGACCCACACCGGCGAGAGGCCTTTCCCCTGCGCGGAGTGTGAGAAGCGCTTTCGCAAGAAGACGCACTTGATCCGGCACCAGCGCATCCACACGGGCGAGAGGCCCTACCAGTGCGTGCGGTGCGCACGCAGCTTCACGCACAAGCAGCACTTGGTGCGCCACCAAAGGGTGCACGAGGCGGCCGGCCGGGCCCTGCCCTCTCCCGACTCGCCCGCCTCGCCCCATTCCCCCGCCCCGTCCCCTACTCCGTCACCTCCCGGGCCGAAGCCTTTCTCCTGCTCCGACTGCGGGCTGAGCTTCGGCTGGAAAAAGAACCTCGCCACGCACCAGTGTCTGCATCTCGGCGAGGGTCGCCCGTTTGGGTGCGACGCGTGCGCGCTGGGCGCCACCGTGGACCCCGCCGCCGCCGAGCCCTTAGCCTGCGCGCCCCGAGGGCCGGGCTGCGGCCCAGGATCGGGCCCGGCGG